ATCTCCTAAATCGGCATTTACCAATGGAGTGGCCTTTCTTGCAACAATATAAGCATGCAAAATCGACTTTAGAATCACTTTTACTTGCTTGATCCCTAATTACATATGCATATTTTTGATATGGGTTAATCATACTTTTTCTAAAATCCTTTTTATCAATAGCAAATGTAATTTTAGGCTCAAATGCCTTGTTTAATTTGGCCTTAAGGTTTCTAACCTCACCTTGCCAAATATGACAAGTATCACACCCAAAGTCGAAAGGATTTCTATTGTCCTTACAATCCGATTCATTGCCTTTCACAATGGAAGCCTTAAGGTCCTCTAGTTTCTTTTCGGACTCTTTAACTTTGTGCTCTAAATACGTAAAAATTCTTTTATTAGAGGCAAGTTTCTTGAAGGCTTCAGTTGCTTCATTGTGTAAAGCATTAAATGCGGTTTGTAATTCTGAATGCGACATATTTGAGGACTTATCATATTTAGAGTGACGTACCTATTTTTTCTTATTTTTCTGATGAGCAGAGAGGCATAGATTCACAGACTCTTCTTCATCACTAGAGCTTTCATCAGAGGAAAAAGAGTCGCTGTCGCTTTCCCAAGCTATGTACGCTCTCCTAGGCTTTGATGATTTCTTGTGTGACTTTGATGATTCCTTTTCCTTTCCCTTTTTGTTCATCGGACAGTCCGGTTTGTAGTGACCGGGCTTTCTACACTTGTAGCACGTCCCTCTAGTCTTTTTGCCTTTTGAGTCGTCATCTTTGGAGTACCTCGATTATTTCCGAAAGTTAACCAAGTTCTTCTCGGAATGTTGGATGTCGTTCATTCTCACGTAACGATTATACCGTTTAACGAACAGCCCCATATCTTCGCTCTTGTCCTCTTCTTCTTCGTCGCTTGAGGAATAATCACTTTGCTCTTTTACTTGAGACTTCGAGGAGGAAGTCTTGAGAGCTATCGATTTCTTTTCACTCACCTTCGTTTTGTCTTTCTTTTCCATCTTTTCGCGTTGATCTAGGCTCAAGAGTACCTATTCATGCTCTTGTAGTTTGCCAAACAATGTTGTCAAGTCTAATAAGGTAAGATCATGTGCTTCTTTGATGGCGGTCACTTTTGGCTGCCATTCCCTGTTAATACATCTTAAGATCTTATTAGTAGCAACATCATTGGAAACAAGCCTACCTAATGAATGTAAACGATTGATGAGATGAGTAAATCTCTTTTGCATGTCAGCAATGGTTTCCCCTTGCTCCATGAAAAAGAGATCAAACTCTTGTGTTAATGTGTTGATTCTAGCCAACTTAACATCGTTTGTCCCCTCATGGGCGATTTGTAGTGAATCCCACATGGCCTTAGCAGTAGGACAATGGGATACACGATAGTATTCATCTACGCCTAATGAGGAGATTAAGATATTTTTGGCATTCCAATCATAATTGTATTTTTTCTCATCGTCATCGGTCCATTGTGCTTCGAGCTTTGGCACAACTACGTTATCCGCATTGGTCATAGTAATTTCTATTGGACCATTGAGGATAACGTTCCATATTTTTTTGTCTATGGAGTTTATGTGCACCCGCATACAATCTTTCCAATAACTATAATTTTCACCGTTGAAAACGGGAGCTCTATTGTACGCCCCTTTTGGTTCGTTAGCCATTTTCTATCTACGTTGTATTTGAAGCACCGAGTAACCGGAGCTCTAGATACCACTTGTTAGACTATGGCACGGATCTAGAAGAGGGGGGGGGGTTGAATAGATCCCAATTAAAATTTGAGTCGGCGCTACCAATTAAAAATTGGTTTTGAAAAATTGTTTTAAGTGCGGAAGCGGCCGAGGAAAATATAGTCTAAAACGAACGGTTATTGGAAAACCGGATATGCGTAAGCCTTTGGATTAATGACAATATGGAAAATAGAATCACAACACTAATCACACTTATCAATGATCTAATTCACTTGTTAGGACTCCTAGTTCCAATGATTTAAAGAGCAAACCAAAACTAGATACACAAGTAAGATAATTTTGGTTTAGGCAATTTGTCAAACACTTGGTGTGCAAAACACTCCAAGTGATATTTATGTTGAGTAAGTGATTCCAACTAGCCTAGTACAATGTCTTATTGTACTTTGGAGTCAAAAATAGAGTTTTAACCTCTTACTCAATTGATATTACAGTTTGACAATAGTGCTTATACAAAAATAACTTATTTTCAAGCTACAACGTAAATGCTGAAAAATAGAGAAGACAAGTATTTGGTGAGGCAGTTCCCCCGTCGTCCTCGCTTCGGGGTACGTCTGCCCTCAATTCTAAAACTAGAATTGAGATAGATTTTATAGATATCACCTGTTGAATGTAACAATTTATACAAGGATTGAGCAGCAAATATACAACAAAAATTTCAATATGTTGAATGTTGCTTTCACTCCTTGCCCCTTGATTCAAGATGAATAAAGTCCTCCGATTGTTGTTGATGGACCTCCGATTCCAGCCACCTTATTGAATAACCCGTTGTTGTTCAAACCTTCGGCTCTGGCTGATCTCAACAACAACAAATCGAACCCGAGATCTTCCCTTCAATATCACTGAATTCGCTACTAGACTGTTGAAGAACACCTCTTCACAATCACCTTCGCTCAGTTGACCCTTGATGAAGAATCTCGTCCAAAAACCCCCAAAATTCAAACCAATCTTGGAGGGTAAAACCCTAATGGTTTTATTTAAGAAAGAACCTGTCACAAGCTTCAACCCGAACTAGATTACCCAATCTAAGCTTCGAACCTTATCACCTTTAATCACTTACAATGCACTTCAAAAATGGCTGTGTGTAATTGATGTGTTGTGAGATGTTGAAGATGAAGATGATGAATCTTGGACACCTATTTCACTCTTTCTTATTCTTGAACACCTTAATCAATTTTTTCAAATGTTAATATGACATAAGTGGTTAAACAAGTATATATAGTACCAACCCAATTAAAGACATAACAATATTTCAAATAGTAGAGGGAATCATTTAAAAACAGGATTTCCGCGCGAACGGTCGACCGCAGCAGGTCTGTGCGTCGACGCATGGCCTCTGTTTTTGGAAATCTGGAAAATGTATCAGTATGCGTCGACCATACAGTTGGCGTGCGCTGACCCGTTGAAAAATATTTCCTTCATGCGCCGACCCTATGGTCGACTCATGCCTTTATGCGCTGACCCGTTGGAAAATATTTCCTTCATGTGCCGACCCTATGGTCGACTCATTGCCTTCATGCGCTGACCAGTGGAAAAATGCTCTGATGCATGCGCCGACCCTATGGTCGACTCATGCCCTGCAAACCTGCAAAAATTAATCTTTTTGTGGTTTTTCATGCCTCTGGTCATGATTGCAATTTATCTACACATAGTATATTTATTACAACAGTTTTAAGACAAGTATAAAAGGATATGGTGGGTGATACGTTGCATCTGTTTAGTAGATCTGTAGTTTATAATTTCCAATCCATCCAAGGTTGTAATTTGTCATCATCGAAACATGTATTGAACAATGTCTTGCAGACTTGTGTGATGTGTGGCGATTTGCCTCCACAAAGACCTCCAATTTGATCCTCCAATTACCTCTACTCTTTTGACCGAACCCCCATTCTTTAACGCTTTCACTCGGCTAAATCCAAATTGTGAAATCTTGCCCCAAGTCTTTCAATTGATCCTCCGATTACCGCTACTCCTTTGCAAGAATCCTTTCTCTTCAAAGCTTTCACTCGACTGAATCCAAGTTGCAAAGACTTGTGCAAAAGCCCCCAAATCAACCCTTGATCTTGGACTAAAAACCCTAAAGGTTTTACCAATGAAACCCCAAAGAAAAATTTAACCCAATTTGATCACACAAACCTAAATTGTACCTTAGCAATCTTGTCTCGATAACAAAAAAAAAAGATTATGTGTAGTTGTTGAATTCATGCAAAGAAATGTTGAAAATGGTGAGAGTTCTTTGTATCTTTCAGGTTTCAATTTCTTTAGAAATGATGCACGAATGCATATTTATATGTATGTGTGTGCGTAGAAAAGAAATGAGCAAAACAATTTTTTAGCCAAAACGAAAGTATTTAAAGTTGTAACAAAATGTATTGACTCCAAACTAGAATGAATCAATACATAAGTTGAAGGAGTCGACACATTGAGGCTAGAGAGTAATTGTTTGAAAAATGCTTAAGGATTCGACTCATTAGCTGAATGTATCGACCCATCCCTTCAATGTATCAATACAATAAAGCCAACGACGTTTGCTTGAAAAGACCTTTTCAGATGGAGTAGACTCCAACTATGAATGAGTCAACTCATTCGCAAGAGGTATCAACTCATCTTGCCTATATATCGATACGTTAGAGGCAAATTCAGTTTCATTGAAAATCAACTCAGTATGTATTGATACACATCAAAGATGTATCAATCTATTCATAACTTTTTCATGAAAAATCATATTTTTAGCATGTGATGACCTATTTAATCTAATTTTACATGTTCTATAATGAAGTACACATATAATAAACAAAGACAGTAAAATTCAATATACACAAAATAAACTTCTTGACATTAAAAAAAACATATCAAAGAATATCTTGCATTTTTGATATTTTTTAACAACTTTATTGCATTAACTAATTTATAAGTCATTTTTTGTAATAGAAGTCTACTGACTTAAATTTCTGAAACCAATTTCTTAAACATTTTTTACTGCCATATAAGAGCTAGAAAAAAAAATAAAAATAAAAAAGGAAAAGTTATAACGTTAGTCAATGCATTGTTAAAGAAAAATAAGAAACGAGAAGATATAATCTGAAAGCACCTCGCAAACGGTGATTCTTGTTATCACGTTACATTCGATTATGCTACACAGTTACATCAACATCATCGTCTTCATGCTCCTGCGCAATCGAATTTTCATATTCACCTAAATTGTTGTTGCTGTTGTTGTGGATCGGATCGGATTCGGCTCGGATCGGATTGCGGATCCAGCATGTCCAAGTCTCTGCCCTACTCCAGAAAAGATGTTGACTACGATAACGCCAAATTTCGTCACCGTTCTTTCTTCAAGGTTTTGCTTCAATCTTCACTCTTCAATTCGTTCAACACCGTTTCGATTTCTCTTGTACCTTTTACTTCACATGAATTTCGTTTTTTTTTTTTGCTGAAATAATTAGATCAAAATTTGTTTTATTTATTTATTTTCAGTTTGGGGGCATGTTCATAATTCCTCACCTAAATTATTTGCTTCATATGTTCTGGAATGTTCTGATATATATACTTGTTCCATTGTGAAATTCTAGTTTACTTTTTTTGCTTCAATGGATGAATAGCATAACTAACACAATAGGGTTCTTGTTAGATTCTTTGAGCTTAACTTGTGATCTTGTTCAAGTTAGAGTCTTGTGAATGCACCAGCTTAATAACTCTTTAAGTTGAGATTTATCATCCAAATCTAGGTCGGCGTGTTGTTATGAGTTGATACATTACGAGTCTCGTTCAGCTCAAAGTTTGGCTATTAAATGGAAAAGCGACTCAGTGGCTTCAGGTAGGACTGAAAAAAAGGGAAAGAAAAAGCTGATGAGGTGAAAGTGAAGAATTTAGACATTTCTTTTGCCGATCTTCCATCTCCAATCACCACCGACATTCTGCTTTGATTTCCTGTCAAGTCTATTTTAGTTTGTAAACGTGTTTGTAGAACATGGAACACATCAGTTTCAAATCCACATTTTGCCAACAAATTGCTCCTTGTGGTATCACCATATGGTTTGTTGATTTGGCAAATTTCTCCTTAAGGTATCACCATATGTTTTATTTTTTTTATTTTTTATTTTTTATTATTCTTACATGTGATCCATGACTAGTCTCGAGAACTATGCAACTTACTACAACAACTTTTTGAAATTTGTATATCCTTAAGGTTAGGATAGTCTCAAGAACTAAGTATGGTTGATACAAGAATTATGGTTAGGATAGTCTCAAGAATTAAGGTTAGGATAGTCTCTTTGAAATTCATACAACATTTTTTGAAGTTTTTATATCGATAAGGTTAAGATGTTTCATCATTATATGACTGATATAACTAAATTATGTGTATTGTTTGTATTTTCCTTTGTATTTGAATCTTCTATAATTGCAATGTGGTCATACCTCAAGGAGCAATTTGTTGGCAAAATGTGGATCTGAAATCAATGTATTCCATGTTTTACAAACACATTTACAAATTAAAATAGTCTTAATGGGAAATCGAAGTAGAATGTCGATGGCGATTGGAGATGAAAGATCGGCAAAAGAAGGGCAAGTTTCTGACTTTCTATCTCAACGGTTTTTTCTTTCCTTCTTTTTTTAGTCCTAGCTGAAGCCACTGAGTCACTTTTTCTTTTCATAGCCACACATAAAGATGAGACTATCTCTTTGAGCTTATATGGTGATCTTGGGTTCAAATTAGAGTATTGCGAATGCACCAGCTTTAAAACTCTTAAAAAAGATTTATGAGATGATACGTTACGAGTCTGGTCCAACTTATCTAGTAGTCTAAGATTCAAATATAAGTCTTGGGAAAGTAGCAGTTTTAAAACTGAACTCTAAGATTTATAACTCATATGGTCTCACCAGCTCGAGAAATTAGTATATGCAGTTGCGTGTGTGGACATCTCATTTATACAGAAAACATATATGTGCATAACTAATGCCTGCCTGTAATCCTTTTTCACTTCCCTCGATCTCTAAAACTTTACTGAATGCTCATGTGTTGTTAGTTTGAGGAGTGATTTATTTGGAATATTATCCTTCCCGTGTTAAATACTATGTTTTATGTTTTTAATGAAAAGTAAAAGGAAAGAGACAATTTTTTTTACTTCTTTATTTTCCAGGTTATTACACAGACCTTCCTCACCAGTAACCGAAAGCGTGATTGTATTGGCTGTAGTACTGGGAAGTTTCTGTTCTTAATATTGATCTTTGGTGTAGCATACCTTGGGCTGACACATAACCCAATTCCAAGCCGTGTAGTTTCTCGAGATCAAGTATTTGGAATTAGAAAATATGAAGAAAATAACAGCAGTACTAATGGTGTCGAAAGATTAAAGAAGTTCTGGAGACGGGCGCCACGACTTCCTCCTCAATTACCGCCCGATACTAAAAGGAGTGATAATGGTATTGATCATGTAGCTACAGCTCTAGATGTCAAAGCATTATGGATTACTCGACAACAAAAAGTCAAAGATGCTTTTACTCATGCGTGGTCGGGCTACAAAAGATATGCAATGGGTTATGATGAACTTATGCCAGTTAGCCAACAGGGAATCGATGGATTGGGGGGATTAGGGGCAACAGTAGTGGATGCTCTTGATACAGCTATGATAATGGGCATTGATGAAGTCGTTGCTGAAGCGGGATCCTGGGTTGAAGAAAACCTTTCCGAGAGAATTAGCAATAAAGGCCAAGTAAATTTATTTGAAACTACAATACGGGTTTTGGGTGGGCTTTTAAGCGCATATCATCTAAGTGGAGGGGAAAAAGGAATGAACATAACTCATGCTGGACCTAAACCAGCTGTTTATCTAGAAACTGCTAAGAATTTGGCTGACCGTCTGCTATCTGCTTTCACATCCAGTCCGACTCCCATTCCATACAGTGACGTTGTTCTGCATGATTCTTCAGCACATTCAGCTCCTGGTGGATTGAGTAGCACGTCTGAAGTTTCCACGTTGCAACTCGAGTTCAATTATCTCAGTCATGTATCTGGTGATCAGAAATATGGTTTGGAGGCAATGAAAGTCATGGATCACATAAAGACTCTTCCAAAAGTTGAAGGACTAGTTCCTATCTTCATTAGGTTTGTGTTCAATTGCTTCAGTTTATTTTGTCGCTTTTAGGTGTGGATCTTCCTTTTCTTTCTCATTATATTTCTACTAACATTTAGATATTTTGATTCACTAAATGCAGCCCTCATTCTGGCGAGTTTAGTGGAGAAAATATTAGACTGGGATCTCGTGGTGACAGTTACTATGAGTATTTACTTAAAGTATGGCTTCAGAGTGGAACTAGTAGAGATAACAGTACATCATATTTATACGACATGTATAAGGAAGCAATGAACGGTGTTAGGCATCGTCTTGTTCAGAAATCTGTTCCAAATGAACTAGTTTTTGTTGGAGAATTGCCTTCTGGACCAAATGGTGGTTTCAGCCCGAAAATGGATCACTTGGTAGGTATTTCCTAATTTTTGAATCTTGTTATTGAATGAAATTTATAATTGAGTAGAAATAGTGCAAAGAACTGACTGTTATTGCTCTGTATGTAGTATAACACACTCGTTATGTATTTGTCTGATTATCCTGAACTGTGATGTTTCATTGATTTGTTTTCTTAGAAATTATCGATTTGTATTTATGTTCGTGAAGTATCAGTTTCAGTTTTGTTTTTGCCTCTAATATCATGATATTCTCAACCTACGGGATGACTTTTAAGCCACGGACATAGCAGAGACTTACTTCTGTCAATGTATTGTAGTTTATTGTATGGCCACATAATGCTATCTCATGCTCCGTTACGTCCATGGTTTAAACTTCATTCCATAAACACTTGAAATGTCTCGATAATATGTTTTACGTGAGGAACTGAATTTTATAGTTATGGGAAAGCGCTTTGATTTTTTACAAATTAAGCACCAACTCACATTACGATTTGTCACATAAGTCTTTATCTTTCTCTTCTCCTTTGACGCTGTCGACTCAGGTGTGTTTCTTATCTGGAACTCTTGCACTTGGTGCCACTAAAGGCCTTACAAAGAAACAGGCAATGGAAAACAATATGCTTAACTTTGAAGACCTAGAAAACTTGAAGCTTGCGGAAGATTTAGCTAAAACATGCTTTGAGATGTACTCAGTGACTTCAACTGGTCTAGCTCCCGAAATTGCTTACTTTCATACCAAGGTTAGTAGGACTTCTATGACATTTTGGACTCATTAAATTATAATAAACCACGTTCAAAATCAGCATCGAATTTCATTATCTACTCGTGTCTTTTCTTAATGATGCTGCTCAATGGAGATCTAACATGTAGCCTCTGGTGTATGCTTTTGATACCCAGGAATTTTCTGAACAAGGTCATGAAGGAGGAAATAAGAGCTCAGAATATATTAACGACATCATAATAAGACCTGCTGACCGGCATAATCTCTTGAGACCTGAGACTGTGGAGTCGTTCTTTGTTTTATACCGCATTACAGAAGATCTAAAGTAAGCTTTAATGTTTTTATTTCTTGTCACCATACACAAAAAACTGCAAATATGGGCTTAATTTTCCGTTTTGATATATTTCGTTAAATAATCATGTATCTATATATATTGTTTTACAGATATCGCGAATGGGGTTGGCAAATCTTTGAAGCCTTTGAAAAGTACACAAAGGTTGATACCGGTGGATATACTTCTTTGGACGACGTAACTATTATTCCTCCTCCTAGAAGAGATAAAATGGAGACTTTCTTTCTAGGAGAAACACTTAAGTATTTATACTTGCTCTTTGGGGAAAGCTCCCATATTCCATTGGACAAGTTTGTTTTTAACACAGAAGCACATCCTATACCAATCAATTTGAAGAAATGAGTCTTATTCATTAAATGATTTCAATAGACGGTTTTTTAGAAATCCAGATCGCGTTGGCACAATGTGAAATGCTTCTTTGAAGTTACTATGGCATCTCTTTGACTCTGAGCAAGAGTGCTTCTGGTTGTAAAGGAGTTAAATAGCTTGGATCTCAAGGAAAATAGAAACTATCCAATATTGTTTAAAACATACATTACATCAGCAAACATGCTGCAGAGGCTGTCACTCAATTGTATGACTTTTTTTTCCCTTGGATTTACAACTAGACTTCTGGATGATACTGTAAATTTTGTTTCAACAATCATAAACCTAGAGCACCATTTGTAATTGATTTGTATGATTTTCCAATATCTTGCTGGTATACTTGGCATTTTCAAAAGTCGATTATACCATTGTCGTTATGTTCCTAAAGGTACTACTTATCTTCCTATATACATTGTTAACTTCGTCATGTACTCAAATTGTCACTATCGTTGCCTAGAAGAAAGAGATGGTCACCATCTCGAATGACATCAATGTCGTCTATCTCTGCATTCTCTTTATTAACTACTTTTATGGCTCTGAAGCTGCCAAATTTTTCACCTGCAAGTTTGCAAGTTAATAGTTAGAAGTAAAAAGTAAGAGCAGTACAAAGTTCTAGTTTCTGTATTCAGAATATTACATTTGAAAGAAAGGAAAAAATCGGATATCAGTCTCTCCATTCTCTCCCGTGTGCATGTGCGTGTGTTTTTGTCTAACTACTGCTCCTCATCAGTTATAGCTTCATAAATCATGATCAATTAATCTTTTTTAGGACTTGTGTTCAATGCTTACCAGCAATTTTGAGCAACTCTTCTAATGAATCAGGTAGGATTATCAGTTTTCCGTGTTGCTCATGCGAGCTACTTCTCCATCCACTTGGTGAATGGATTGTTACCCTCTTCTTGGCGAACCTTGCCATATCTATTTCTCCCTGACAATTGGAATTTCTTGAATTGGAATTTGTGTATACTTTCTCTAATGGGAAGTTATTAGTTCTGATACCATCCTGTTTACTGTTTCTGGTTGAGCTATTCCTGCCAAGTTTAAGAACTTGCGGCTCAATAATCTCTATTCTATGTTCATTTGATTTCTTCCCGCTTTCACAATTCATCGTATGTTCAGAAGCGCTCTTGTTTTTAAACTGTTGTGTTTGAGCTTTCTGTGTCCACCCTATGTTATTCGGGTTCTTTGCTTTTGCATCTCTTTCAAGCAGAATTTCAACGATGTCAAGTTTCCCCTTATGCAGAGGCAGCACAGGAGCATGGTGAAGATCACTTTTGCCGTCCTCAGGTATCATGTTATTAGCGACTAAATGAACATCATTAGTCACTGTATGCAAATTATTCTGCGAATCTCTGATATTTATGTGCTCTCCTTCATGCATTAATGAATGGCCATATGAATTATTTGTACGCTCGTGAGGAGAGGATTCTATCGTGTTACCTCCATTAAGCAGTTCATGTAGAATCAATCCATGATCTGTATGTGGATATTCAACGCCGAATCCTTCATGCCCCTTTAATCTCTGTCAAATGTATATCAAAAATGATGAGAGGGGTATATGATTGATAAATATATTTATACAGTTTATTCTCCATGATTCAAGTTTAAGGCTTCGAGTATCCTAATTACCGTTAATAAGTTATTCATTATAATCTGTGCATCTCCTGGATTTGCTTGTAAAACATTCATTAAACATGTTTTGTTGACTCTTAAAATCTGAGAAAGTTCCGTGGTACGAACGGTGAATGGCTGTAGTACATGATACAAAACTCCGAACTCTCCAAATGTATCTACTGCAGTTGCCTTGCCAAGAACCACCTGAATTGTTAATATTGAGACAGGAAGTTATAATCAGTTGTTTCATTGTTTAATTTTAAGAGACAAAACCACATTCTGTTTTGTTATTATGGCATACCTGATCATTCCCATCGTTGTAGTGAACGAAATTCTGCAACGAGATTGAAAAGATTTTTTTGAATTAGTAGACATTCTTTAAGATAAATGTATCGTTACTTGACTATCGATACTTTAGTTAACTCACCACTGCTCCTGTAACCAGTATATAAAGGTCCGTTGGAGACTCGTTTTGCAGTATCACATCTTCGGTAGGTGGAAAGTATTCTGCTTCCATTTCTGAAACCTGTATTATTGCAGGAAGGAGAACACAAGGAAAAGTTAGAAATAACGAAGCGTGAAAGAAAAATCAAGAGATGCGGGGTATTATTACCAGTTGGAAAAGGAAATCATGAGAGACTCCTTGGAAGAGGTAGACCTTCTGCACGGCAGGAAAATACAGATGGTGCGCTATGCTTGAACGAATTGCTTTCGGAAGATCATTTAACGCTTCTTGCTGCTTCAGTCCTTCTGTTTTAAATCTCAGACATATGTGTGCCAACATTTGATTGTGTACACGATGTGGCAGATGATTTCTTGAAGCAAACTCCGAAGCTGCTTTGACGGTATCTCTCTGTGACCAAAATGAATCCTCTCTTATTTTTAGGGAAGAAATAAATTTCCTCTTATCTGAACGATTTTTGTTTTTGAAAAGACACAATTAGCTTTTTGAACATTGGTTTGGATAATGACTTTGAAGGGCATTGTTGAATGATAACACGAGTTTAGTCCAAAATATGTATAATATAAATTTAAAACTGTCATAACAGGTGGTTGGCACAGGAAAATGAAGCAGCAGTAGAAGAAGCTTTTAAGATTGAAAGTACTTACAAAATTTCGAGTGCGGCTGGTCCAGTGAACTACAAGGTTAGTCATGTTTCCAATTATGTATGACGTTAAACCCAAGTTGAACAACATATAAGCGATATCAAACAACATCTCTATGGTGTTCTCTGCGTGTAAGTCTCCATAGCCAGTCGTAGTAAGCGTGACAATGGACCAGTATATCGAAGTTACATATCGGTCCCAAAGACTTTCTTGTTTAAAATTCGGGAACATAGCACCTATCCAAGTTCTCTTGGAATCAGGGTACCTATCTGCAATGAGATAGTTAACGCATCCTGCACAGTGCACTGCAAACAAGGTTACCTGAAATTTTTCGAAAGTCGTAAATTCAGTTCTTGGATGTTCCTTGAAGTTCTAAAGGAAGAAAGGAATTTACGAGGTTTAGTAGCTTACAGCAGTGAGCTTTGTGCACCTAACCCAGAAGTAGTTGAAGCGAATGTCCTTTTCGAGTCTGAAACAAAGCAAAGGTGTAAGTGAACAAGCACCGGCATATTCTAGTAAATAGAAGAATCGGTGAAACCAGAACAATGAAGTTAAATATGATATGCTGGCAAACCTGGCAAACAGAGAACTGACTCGTCTCAAGCGCCATAATCGCAACATGTTAAGAAGTTTGAAACCAAGCTCACTGTTATAGTTAGTGAAGAGGAGGCTAATGGTCTCGAGTGGTGCTGTGGAGCAGATATCCAAAGCAAACCAGGTGGATAAGTAACTGCGTGTTTCATGTAGAAACATGAAAGTAAGTAAGGTTTTTCGGCATTCATTTTAGTTTTTAAGGAAGAAAAGTTTTATATCTATATATGTAAGTATATATTACCTGATTGCAATTTTCTTTGGATCATCAATGAGAAGATACGAATGGCTGTCGTGGTATGCGACGAAGAATGTAAGCACAATGTCGATGGCGAAGAAGCCATTGACAATGTTGTCTATGATGAATAATCCATTTTGCTTATAAGTCAGAAAGGCGAACTCAAAGGGGCATATCCAAGCTGAGTATATGACTAGAACAACCAACAACAACTCCCAAACCCTGTAACAAAACAAAACATACATGAAAACTTGAGAAGATGCGCGCACAATATTCATGAGTTATGTTATATTGTGACAATGTAAAAGTTCATCATCACCTATACTTAGGATTGAACGGATAGATTACGTATTTTCGGAGTTTAGTTTCCTGGTTTATTTGAGCGCCTAGAGACGGTAAAAGATCACTAGACAAAAAGCTGCTATGTGTATAACTTCCCATTTCCATTTCGTCCAACCAGAACCTCTGGAAGAAGGCTTTGACTCTCGAAAATGGCATGTTATGAGTTTCGAATTCAAATCCTCAAGTCTATAAAAGAGGTAAATATAGTATTTCGGTCTTTCAATTCATGAGGTTGATTCCTATGGACATGGCCATATTTATAGCCATGCTTTTAACCACTGTCATGCTTTTTCTTCTGTTGTTGAAAAAATAAAGTAATAATCATGAAGCTTATGCATCTAATTTAATGACAATTAAAGTTTACACAAGAGTGGTAAAAACGTGTAGGAAAAATCCTCCACTTTGTCTCAACAAAATAAAGCCTTTGAAGAAAAAAAGGTATATGGTAAAGTCCTGCTAGTGGCAGACACAAGATTTTCTGATATATGAAGTTGCAGACAATTTTGTATGTCTAATAGAGGCTACAATGAAGATGTAAATGGTGTTTCTTGTGCTGTATAGGTAGCTCTAATGGTGGTAGTTCCATTCCATCAAGTGAAATGGAGGTGGAGATATATATATATAAAAAAATGAAATATGGACCCTAGTTTTGAAGGAACAGATTCAATTTTGAGACATATTGGTTTGTGTTTACATTTGATATGATATCTAAAGATAGTATGGGTTATTGGCAAGTATCACATGTGGACCAATGAGAATTTTTTTCAAGAGTTGTAACACACTATCACTTGTATAAAAGCCACTAACAAAAAAATCACAATTATTAAACTTCTGATTATCTTAATCTCCGAAATCATTCATGTTTTTGTCTCATCAGTCATGATGAAAATTGCTCTTATTTATAAACATATATTCAGATCATATCTAATTCGATGTGAGGCTCTTAATGAGACCGGCCTCGTGGTCCGCATATGATTAAGATAACAATGTGTAATTAGGAATTTTCTTTCTATTCTATCAAGTCATTCTCTTTTGCCTTGAAGCCACATGTTGATAAAAAGGAATTATAAATAGTTTGTCCCATGTTTGAAGAATTTGATTGAAAGGAATAAGGCACAAGAGAAAAATTCTGACTTTTGATTGGAGAAATTCCAAGTCATGAAGTATTAATAAAGTTAGTATAAAAATACAAATATTGAATGAGAATTCCTTTAGATCTTTCTCATTAGTTCATTTAGCATGTGAAAGATGGCCATTATCTAAGTACTGGTCCCTTATGAATATCTCACTAGAATCTTTCCAAAAGATAATTGGTAGGAGAGCTAAACCCACTTGCTTGAGGTACAATACAGAAACTCTGCAGCCAAACATGACTTTTACTCTAGGATAGGGTAAATCCTCAAAACCAATTTTAAATGAATCCAAGTATCCCTTGTCCGATACCAACGCTAATCCCTCAAAATACAGAGTCGTTTATATGATTGACCTCTTCCAATTGATGTTTTACTAGTAGACACGGATACTAGAGGACAACATTTGACTTTATATTTATAGACTATGAAGCATTGACACAGAAACAAACACGACACTGATATGTCATAAGTATGTTTGACACTGACCCTGATACATGTCTGATATCAAATGTGAAGTGTCAGTGTTTCATAACTTACTTACGAGTCTGTTTTTCTACTAATCATGAATCTTTTTTGATAGGAAGTTGAAGATACCAATGAGCATAATTTGCATTTGAAGCAAAGGGACCAGAGAGAACAACATAAGCATTTAGCAAAGGAATTATCTTTGATGAATTAATTTTGTGCAAAACATGAAAGTGGGGATATAGCAAAGTAATGTTTGTTTGTTATGGTGGCACCAATAGGCTGCATTAAAACCCCACCTCGTGGGAACCATGTTATGAAGTTATACCATAAAAGGTACAAACAATGTCATGTTCACATGGACTACCTAATCAAAGACATGTTATCAAGGTTGTTTGATTAGCAAGAAATCATATCAAATCTTGTTAACATTATTATGTGGTTAAGAATTGAGTGTGGTATAGTTCTGTAAAGGAATATGATATATGATACCACATGAATCATTATGGTTTTTGAAAATACAATCTGCAAAAGGTTTAAGGAGATGTTGACATGCAGAGGCAAATCTCTTACCAACTCTACAGCATATATAATGTTTTGGTCACAAAATGTGGTTTAGATTTTTGATTAGCAGTTCCACTAGAGCAATGGTGCATTGTAGTTGGGACATTATTTTCTTATAATTGAGGAAATTTTAATACATATGAGCCAAAGTTCAATTTTCTGACCACATATTTATGAAACTTGAGCTGCTTACACTAAAATGACATCAGTTTCATGTGTTAAGTTGACAAGTTTTAGAATATTTTTCTTTTAGAAAAATCCTCCCTATGGAAAAACAATTAAGAAAAGGTCCATCCAATAGGTTTTTTTATTTTTTATTTATTTTTAATTTTAAAAAATACAAAATCCTCCCCATATGATCTAAAACAGCTCCATAGAGTTTCAGAGCCCATCAAAAATTCATTAAGTTGTTTAACATTTTTTTTATTATAGTGATCGTGGATTCTACTTATAATATTAACAAATACCAATTATCTCGATGTTTGTTGGTGTTACTTCTGGTAATATGACATATTTAACTGCATTTATTTATATGGATTATGAAAAGGAGAAAAATGTTACTTGACTTTAGAATGTGCAAACAAGTATCAAAATCAAAATCAACCTATTCAATGTTTTCGTTGTCATGAGGAAGGACACAAAGCACTTGATTGCCCAATCAAGCTATGAGGTTATCTCTGTCAAAAACCAGATCATCTTGCTAATAATTGTCCAGAGAAAAAAAAAGCCTAGGAACAATAACAACAGCGAAGTTGGATGCCCTACGACTCAATGATGCATGTACCATGTTGACGGAGAATAGAAGAAGGGCCATTCAGAGCTGATCAATGGTGAGTGTGAAATTGTTGACAAATTTTTCCGATATTATATGATTCTGGAGCTACTCATTCTTTTATCTCTTGGGATTGTGTGAATTCCCTACGACTTCCTGTGACATATTTACCTTTTAACTTGGTGGTTATGATACCGTCCGCAGAACCTGTGATTCTAAGTGAGGCTTGCTTGTAGTGTGTGTTGATGGTCTTGAACATGAAGTTCAAGGACGATCTACTTTTTATTCCCCTTAAGAAGCCCAATCCAAGCCCAATTTGATCCAATGGAAATCCAAAATTCTTGGTTTTGTAAGCTTCATGTGCATGTAAAACAGAGCAGCAATGGCTATGAATTTGGCTCAGGTAGCTTGCATACACTTCATTCTGATCCAAGGGATAGAATTGCACCCTTAGTTTAATCCTATGGCGTGATTTGATTATGTTACTTTCACTTGAAGCAAGCATGAAATTGACATGGTTTTGGACCTCAAATCTCAATTCTGATTTTGCCATCATGTTTAAAATGTCAAAAGGACTCAAAATATGTACCAACTTGATCAAAATTAGTTCAACATGAATTTATTTGAATTTATGACTTGTAAGGCTTTTTCCATGAATTTTCCTTCACCGTTATTCCAATCCAAGCCAATTTAATGATAGGTTGATGTTTGATGATGAAATTGACCCCATTTAGAGCAAGTTTTATGTTGGCAAAAGTTTCATTTGAGGTGTGCAAAGTTGTGAAATTGACCTATAATAAAAAATGATCTATAATCAAAGTTTCCCAAAATACCCCTGTCTTGCAAGCTTCATATCTTGAGCTCTACAAATCAGATGAAAGACTTCTAGTACTTTTTGGAAAGCTAAGATCATAAGGAAAAACTTTCATGTTTGGGTCAAAGTGAGGAGAGACATCCTTCTAGGTCAAAAATGTCTTGGAAGTTGGTTGACTTTTGTTGACCAAAATCACATTCATCTGATGACCTGTAACTTGCCAGCTTCATAACTTGAGTTTTAGAAATCAGATGAATGACTTCTAGTACTCAAAAGAAATTTAAGAACATGCTTTACAAGTTTCATGTTGGGGTCAAGATGAGATGATACTTGTATCTTGAGATATGTGGTCTTGAAGTTAGGCACTAAATAGGGGATTTTACACTAACAAGCTTAGAAACCCTGGCTTAGCAACTTTTCACACTCTTGATTCTTGATAAATTGACTTAGAAATGATATATTAGACATCTCAACACAACATTCCATGATCAGAAAGACTTGGAATTAAGTTTTAATCTCCTTCAGTTTCACTGTTGACTTAGGGTTGACCAGATGAAAACCCTAACTGCACCACCTTTGACTGTGACTCCTTATACTTGATATAATGACTTGCACAAGCTCCTCAATGACCCTCAAGACATCCAATGAGCTTATACAATGCTCTCCATCCATAACCATGGACTTAATATCATCTGATGACTTTCATTTGATCCCCCAAGATAGGAAATACACCAATCTTAACCATCCATTCCTTTAATGAGCTTTGACTTTCTTCTGATGATGATAAGCACTTGATAGCTTGAATACAACCTATTTCTTGGCTTTGGAAACTTTTGAAATCTCCTTTTGCTAGGCACACCTCTCTCAATCCCCTGTACATGGAAAATGGTATGCAAATGCTAATGCTATATGAATGCAATGAACATAAACCAAGTAAAGAAAATGTTGGGCAAATTTTGGGGTGCAACAGGTAGCAGATCTTTTTACAAGTGTGATGTCTTGGACATCATCCTCAACATCTTCTTTTGACTCAGTTTCATACCTGGCCTTTCTTCTCTTAGAGACAGTGGTAACTTTGCTCCAAGCTTTAGGGGGTTCAACAACAGTTTTCTTGTTATTACTCTTAGAGGGAGATTGATCAATCACATATTTACTTCTCATAGTCTTCAACCTCTTGACAATTCCAAGAGCCACATTCCTAATCAATTCATCATCAGTTGGAACATTATCAAGATCGACAACATCACAAGAGACATTAACCTTTTTCTTACTCTAATCAAAACTACCAATTTTGTTCTCCATACTAGAAGTACCAGCCTCATCATTAACATCAACTTAATTCCTTCCTTCCTTAAGCATAAAGTTAGCCAACTTGTGCAGATTACCAGTGTCAGTGCTCTTCTCAGAA